TGACAAAAATCATATGCCAATCTAAAAAGAAAAGAGATTGAATATCACGTGGAGGATAAGGTATTTCTGAAAGTATCGCATTGGAAGAAAGTGTTGCGGTTCAGGTGAAAAGAAAAGCTGAGTCCTAGATTTATTGGACCATATGAAGTTCTAAAAAGGGTCAGACATGTAGCTTATCAGATAGCTCTGCCTCCTTATATGGACAAGATCCACAATGTTTTTCATGTGTCGATGCTCATAAAGTACCGATCAGATCCATCCCATGTCATCACAACTGAAGAAATAGAGATTCGACCAGATTTAACTTATGAGGATAACCAATGCGGATCTTGGCTCGAGAAAGCAAAGAACTGCGTAACAATAAGATTCCTCTAGTTAAAGTAGTTTGGCAAAACCATAAGGTAGAAGAAGCTCATGGGAAAGATAGGATGATATGAGGAAGCAATTTCCACACCTCTTCATATCAGGTACTTCTTTAAATTCAAGGACGAATTTTCTTAGGGGAAGAATTGTAATACCCCAAAAATCGGGTCAGTGACTATATTAAAAGGATATAAAATTTGAAGGATTAAATTGAATAAATGGTAAAGTATAAGAAATGATTTAGGAAATTGTGTTTAAGACTAATTAGTAAGAATGGAGGAATAAAAGGGTATTTTGGTCCTTTAGAGGGAAATGGATTTAAAATTTATTTTATTAGGGATATTTAAGAAGAGAAAAAGGGGAAAAGTTGAGAAAAAACTAAGTCATTTTCTTATTCTCTATCTTCTTGTCCCGTGCTCTCCCTCATAGCCCTAAGGTAAGATTTCATCAAGTTGGTTTTTTCTTTAGTTTATGAGCTAGTTTTGAAACCTTAAGTGATATAGAGGCTTAAGGAAAGTTCAATGATAATTAAAACTAAGTGATTAGTGAATTATTTGAGATTTAAGAAAATAGGGTTTTGAGTGATATGATGAAATATGAGTTTTTATTGAAGTTTACAAGTAAATTTGACTTGGCAAAGAAGTAAATAAGATATTAGAAGCCTTGGATGTGATTAAAAACATGTTTGAAAAAGTAGTGTGATTCTTGGTTTGGAGTGTTCTTTGAAGATTTTAGATGTTATAGGAAGATTAATGAAGGAAAGTTAGTTGGGTTTAGTAATGATGAGTTTAATGGTATTGTTTGAGGTAAAAGAAATAGATTTAAACGAAATTTGGGTAAAAATCGAAATGAAAAATAGAAAATCTGGGTAAGGGTATCGGTACTGGAAGAACAGTACCGATACTATAGGTTTAAATTTGAGAAAATGGGATGAACAGTATCGATACTGATGCAATTAGTATAGATACTACTGTGGGTATCGATACTAAGAGGAAGGTATCGATACTATGGATTCTAGAATGCAAAAATGGTATCGATACTAAAGGGATTATTGTTACCATAGTATAGAAGTATCGATACCATAGTAGGGATACCGATACTATTGAGCTTGGAATTTTAAGATAGGATGAATTTTAATAGAAATTGAAAATAATAGTACTATTGAGTATTATTAAAAGTTTAAATGTTAAAAAGTATACTAACATTTGTATGGTATGTGTAATTAATGGATGCTTATATAGATCATATCCAAGCTTCAGAGTCAAGCAAGAAAAAGGGTAAGGATAAAGTTACCAAATAGTCAGACATCACTACAACATACTAGTGAGGCATATCAGGTGAGTGCATTTGTCGTACTTCTATGAAATGAGGGAGACTTGCGATGAGTCAACCTCAATTGTTTTAATAAAGCATGCTTTACAGTATATTAATATGTTTTCAAATGTTTATGGGAATGAGATTATGAATAAGTTTTAGAGTATTAACTGCTCTAAAATGAATAGATGAATGTTGATATGGTTTAATGGTTATCGATATTAAAGAAATAAATGTTTAAGTCTTTGAATTTTAACTTAAAAGCCCATTGGATGTGCATTGAGAATCATAGGTGCATTTTGACATACTTCATGTATGATGGTATCAATCTATTTTGTTTAATGCATAACGGTGCATTTTCGTATCAGTACTAAGTGTACTTTTGGCACTATATGTGGAAATCATGGTATTCATAATGAGTTTTTGAATTACCATTTCGATATATAATTATGTATATAAGTTATCGATCAATTTTGTTTAATGCATAACGGCTCATTTTCGGCACTAAATGTGCAACCCATGGTATTCATAATGTGTTTATGAATATCCATTTCAACACTATGTGTGCAATCCATGGAGTTCATAATAAGTTTGTGAATTTTTATTTCGGTACTTTGGTGCAATGCATGTACCTTGTATTATCATTTGACATAGATTAGGGAAAATAAAGATTAAATTGGAAAATATTGATCGATAGGTATGATGGGCATATTAAAGATAGTTATCATGCTATTTGAATGAAGATTGGTTCGGAAAGCCAATGTAATGTGTTGATATGAATCATACGATGTTCATTCGTATTTTGATAATTTGTGATATGCTTATATTTAAGTATAATTCATTTTTTATTACTATGCTAAGTAAATACTTAGCATGTGTTGATTTCACATGTAGGAAATAGCAACACTAGCGGAGTAAGGAGTGCAGTGGACATCAATCAAAGGTTGCCTCATCAGTAACTCTAGGACATTTATGTCTATTTTGATAATTAGCTGGCATGTATTTGGACTTAAGAAAATGCTCTGGAATGTATTATTGTTATCATTTTTGTAATGTGTTACAATGAACGTTTTATTATTATGATACTAAAAATGTTTTGTTTTCGAAACAAAATTTTATGGGTTTACAAATAAAGAAATGTTTTTAAAAGTCATGTGACACATGTGACTTGTGTACGGAAACATATACGGGAAATGGGTGTTACATAATGACACTGCATTTTTATGGGTAAATTACATTATTCATCACTAAACTATCTTCTTACTCCTATTTTGGTACTAAAGGTTAAAAATTTTCAATTTAACTACAAAACTTTCAAATTGCTCATATTTTAATCACTCTGATTTATTTTTATTAATAATTTTTGTGACATGACATATTTGTTATTATTTTGTTAATATATAATTAAAAATAAAAAAAATAAACTTTAGTGACTAAAATAGGAGTGAGAATATAGTTGAGTGATGAATGATGCAATTTACCCATAAAAATGTCACGTACAAATCACCTGTTATGCTTGGTATAATTTTGAAAAAAAATTAAAAGTTTAGATACTAAAACAGACCAAAATTGATAGTTTAGATACTAAATGTGTAGTTTACCCTGTCTTAAATTCCTTTAACAAGAGGACTTATATTTGGATCCTCATATTATAAAATCATAAAGTGTATATGTTTGATAAATTTAAAAATTAAGTATTGGATTATAATTATAAAAATCATTTTTTGATTTAGTATTGGATATAATTAAATTGTTTTATAAACATAAATTTGAAACAATAATATAATTTTAAAAGTGTTGATGAGAATAAATGAGTTTCGTTTGTCGTGAGCGGTATATTCTCTCTAGTTTGAACAGAGAGTCGCGATCGGTGAGGGAAGACCACTGGCGATGTTTAGATGAAGTGAATGGATCATCATGAGTAAGAAGGAGATTTAAGAAGGTTTGACATTGGTAATGAGCGGTCCATCCTCCTTTTTAGTCTTGATTGAGGATATTTATAGTGATCTTTAATGTGTATCAACTCTAGGTTGTTAAACTTTGGATTTCGTTCTGACAAATCACGTCTATCAGGGATCATGTCTAAAGGTTTTATCTATGTATTATAGTTGACTAAAACTTGTATTCGGTAAATATAAGTTAGTGGGAGACTCGGTATAGAAAGTTTTATACGATGACCTGAACCGACTTAGAATTGACAATTTCAGCATGTACTTTCGAAGATAGGTATAACAAAATTAAATAAAATAAACCAAATTTTGTTAATAAAATTCAGTAAGTATGTTATTGTACATTTTTTATTTTCTATTTTGTTTAAAATCCAGTCAGATGATTTTCATATTTAATTATTAAACACATTAAAAAAATTAAATAACTGAAACGTTAATTTTCAGTTGAACTTTTTCAATAGATCGTTAATAAGTGCCTTAACTAATATATGGAGAGAATTAATTACTTAGACTATTTATATCTTAAATTCTGTTACAAGACAAAACCAGGGGGAATTGGTGGCTCATATGTGGAGAGAATTAATGGTCAAGAACTTTTTTTCCCATCGGCCAAAAAGTTTTGAGATACAGCTTTTACTTTTTCATAAAACAGACGGACAATAAATGTAAGATAAATTGTGTGAGCATATTTGAGATGAAGAAAAGCGTTAGATCCCAGGCTTGGCTTAAGTAGTGGCCTTGCCTTGGCATGGTAAAACAGATAAGCTAGATAAGTGAACTTAGGTTAATATAAAATTAAGGGCAAACTACACGTTTAATACCTAAACTATTAACTTTGTTCCATTCTAGCACCCTAACTATATTTTCATTTTCAAAACTATATCTAACATTTAGTTTAGGTTTCAATTTAATATCCCGCTATAAAAAAATTTAACAAAACTACTGACGTGACATTTTTTAATGATGACATGACATTACATTATGATTACACATTAACATCACCATTAATTTTTTAACGGAAAGTACAAAAATGAAACCTAAACTAAATGTTAGTTATGATTTTGAGAACAAAAATTTTGGTACCAAAATAGAACAAAAATAACAATTTAGGTATTAAATGTTTAGTTTACCCTAAAATTAAACTAAACTTGCATATTTGTGTGATTTTGCATTGGTGGATTATAAGGACAGATTTTTTTTCATGATTTTCTTTTACAAAAGTTCAATTTCAATAGATACTTTAACAATATATAATGGAAAAGTATAGATAAAATGAAAGATGGTTTATTGTTATTAAAGGGAAAGAATTGTAGCCAACTAAAAATTAAGCTAAATATTATTGCTGCTGGGGAAGGGAAGAACAAAAGGCATCCTCCATATGCAAGCTCCTAGTTATTTCAGCTTTGAGAATAACTTTGGGGCAACCTGCATTTGATCATTTAATCCAAAACCAAAATAAACAAATCATGGTATTATTAATATTGGGGTAAACTACGTATTTGGTCACCTAACTATCATCTTGGTTATGTTTTGGCCACCTAACTTTTTTGTCTAAGAAGAAAAAAAGAACTTACACATTTATCAACACAAGCCAGGAAGTCAAAGTATTGTCCAGTGCAGTGCTTGGTTCCAGTATCATCACCTGAAATCCTCTTCACACATTCCTGCAACAATTGAAAATTTCCATTGAAACTTTTTTCCCCCATTTTAGGGTACCTAAGAGTAATCATCATCAGGGACGAATGCAAGATTTTATGTGAGGGCTAAACTTGAACTTATAAAATTTAGGAACCGAAAATATATTTTTAATAGAAAATACACAGAAAAAATCTAAAATATATGGTAAATTTAAATTTTTACGGGATGACCGCCCCCATTCTCCCCGCCTAGGTGCATTCCTAGTCATCACTACTCACCAGCAAAAATATAAAACAATGACTTTTAATAGTTCAATAAAAGAAATCGACTTAGGCTGATTGAATGACAAATCAATAATTTGTCTAGTCTAAACACTAGTGATTGTTGTACTATTTGACGCACAAGATGTAAAGCATTATATGCATATGCATGTATATGAGTACAAAATATTCAAAACTATAATTGAAGCAAACATATTTTACACCATCCAATTTGACTCAAACCAAATGAAGGGAATATTTGACATCGTCATTATTAACAAAGAAACCCTAATCAAAACAAGTTTAAGCTGTAAATCCGATAATAAGTTTCAATGAATCGCGCAAAATATGCAAAAAAAACAACTTGTTTTATGGATCAAAAAGAAGATTAAGTGAGAAGATGGTTTACCTCATAACCATGCTTAGGCTTTGCACAATCCGATTGGCAAATACCCTCGAGGAGTTTCTTTTGATCCATTGGCTCCATATCCGCCCTGCATCACAGTTGTCAATCATGAAATATCCAAAACTATAGTTGAAGGAAATCTAATATTTTATATTAAATAAACGAAATTCCAGTTTGAGATCATCGATATTAACAAAGGAACTCCAATAATAACCATTCTACAGCATTCCCAAAAACAAAAGACTTACATATTAGGGAATTCTCGCACACTCGATTCAAGTGAAAAATTCAAAAAATAAAAAAGAATGTTAGCTTTGTATAGAGAGTGGAAATGCAGAGGTGGGTTAGGTTGGTTAGCATTTTTCACTGAGGAAATGCAAATTAAAAGGTGTGGTTAAAATCACTCGGTCCACTCTTGGGCTGGGCTCCTTTCTCTCCCAATTGATCTTTATACTTTTTTTCAATGTTATTAAAACCGGACTGGACCGGCCGGTTAAACCGTGAACCGATGGCCTGTCCGGTCCGATGAACTTCCAAAACCGAATAAGCACAGAATCGGTAAAGAACCGGCTGAGAACCGGCAAAACCGGGGTGAATCGGCTGAAAATCGGTGAAACCGATGTGAACTGCCGGTTCTCTTTTTTTCTTTAAAAAAATTAAACCAAACAATGTCATTTGTTAAACGAGCCGAGTCGAACTCTAGTACTGCTGAGCTCAACTCGAACTCAAAAACTTTAAAAGTAAGCTCAACTCGACTCAAAAACTCACGAGCTAAAAATTATCAAGTTCAACTCGAACTCGAAATATAATATTGAAACTTGAACTCGAAAAGGCTCGAACTCAAAAAAAAATTAGAAGCTCGATTGAAGCCTGAAATTCGAGCTCAATTGAAGCGAAAGAATAGTTCGTACTGTGCTCACCAAAAGGCTCAATGATTTTGAATGTCAAATTACCTCTAGTATTTATAGAAGTTAGTTTGATGCTCTTCTATGTTTCTTAGTCATGTGGGATTATTTTGTTCTCGTATTTTTACTCTTTAGACTTTTGGGATGCTCTTCTATGTTTCTTAGCCATGTGGGATTGTTTTTAAAAAAAAAATTAAACTAAACGACATCGTTTGTTATGATTTTTTTCAGCCCCAAATTTATTTTTTGATTATAGTTATATAATTATATTTATTATTTAATATGTTTTACCTTAAATATTATGTTGTAGTTGATTTGAATCATTTTGTTTCACTTGATTTTATGTTTTTTAACTTATATATGTTATGACTTGTGATATTTTTATACATTTTAATATTGTAAACTTAAAAAAAGTGTTATATATATATTAATATTGCTTTGAATATTATGTAAAATTAAAAAAAAATATTTTATATAAAATCTGGTTGAATCGCGGTTGAACCCAGTTGAACCAGTGAACCAGTACTTTTACCGGTTCAAGGTCCAGTCCGATTTTAAAAACATTGCTTTTTTCACTTTTTATATTTTTTTTCTTTCGATTCTAACTTCTTTTGTATGATTACTTAACTATATACTATATATTTTTGGAAGCCATTAAGCGGACTAGTGCTAAAAAAATGTTGTTCTCCTTAGAAGTTACGAGTTATAATCACTCTATTTTGTTACAGTATTAAAAGACTAAGAAAAATTTGAACATATACTATCTTATAATCACTCAAAATTATTATAAAAATTATAAATTTTGTTTTAATAAATTCGAGTGACACGAAAATGTCATTATTAGAGGTAAACTATTCATTTGCATGATAAAATATCTTTTTGAGAAAATTATCATTTTAGTCCTTGAACTTTTCCCAAATTATACTATGAGGACTAAACTTTTAAAATTTTCATTTTGGTCGCTAGTCAAAATTTTAGGTATTACACTTTTGGTTAGACATGAGGTAATTGATCTTATGGTAAACTACACAAATGGTCAGTAAAGTATGAGTAAGTGGTCGTTTTCCCTACTAAAGTTTCAAAAGTAACAAGTTGGTCACTAACATTATTGATTTGTAACAAAATGGTTACTCCACCATTAACATCTGTTAACCCAGTCACGGAATATTGATGTGGCAATTTGGACGGCTGAGTTGGCATATTTTGGCCCCCCTTGACCAACTACTTTGACTTTCTCTTGAAAAAATATAAATATTTTGTCGATAAAAATCATGGTTTTCAGAACCTGACCGGTTAGCGAATCGGTCATGCTACCGGTTCACTGGTTCAACGGTCGAACCGGTCCGACCGGTCGGAAGAACCAGACGACGTCATAATTATTTAAAAAATTAAATAAAAATACCAAAAATATTTAATAAAAAATAATTTTTTATATCACAAGTTATATTCAAAGCAAGTCATAACATATATAAGTTAAAAACCATAAAATCAAGTGAAACAAAATGATTCAAATTAACTACAACATAATATTTAAGGTAAAACATATTAAATAATAAATATAATTATATAACTATAATAAAAAATAAATTTGGGGTTAAAAAAATCATAACAAAATTATATAACTATAATTATATAACTATTCTTTCACTTCAATCAAGCTCGAATTTTAGGCTTCAATCGAGCTTCTAATTTTTTTTGAGTTTAAGCCTTTTTGAGTTCAAGTTTCAATATTATATTTCGAGTTTGAGTTGAACTTGATAATTTTTAGCTTGTGAGTTTGAGTTGAGTTGAGCTTACTTTTAAAGTTTTCAAATTCGAGTCGAGCTCAGCAATACTCGAGTTCGACTTGGCTCGTTTAACAAACGACGTTGTTTGGTTTAATTTTTTTTTTAAAAAAACAAAAATCCCGGTTTTTCCCGGTTTTTAGCCGGTCCGGTTCGAACGGTTCAACGGTTCTGGCCGGTTCACTAATAACGGTTCAACCGGTTTAGATTGAACCGGACTAAGCAATGGTTCCCGGTTGAACAGGCCGGTCCGATCCGGTTTTCAAAACAGAGATAAAAATGAGGGTTATCTTCTTCTCCCAACCTAGTGTAATTTAGCAAAGACCAACATCTCCGTTGAAGAGAAAATACATGTACTATCCCTTCACGGAAAACTTGTAGCTGAAGTTAAATTCAAAGACCAACACCTCTATTTTTTACTCTGGTGCTGGTCAAATGGATATTTCCAGTAAACATTTTTGTGAATGCTCGGTCCCGTTAAGTTGTAACCTGGAACTTTGTAATACGATTCTCGTTAAAGTGATTGGTTGTCTTCTCTAACTCTTTTGAAGTAAATAGCCTTAATTTCTCAACATTGTTATGTGAATATTGCTGCAGAAATAAACACCCATTCCTTTTTAAAGTATTTTTGCTTCAACTTGATGCTTTTTCTTCATTCTAATACTTTTAGCAAATTCCATGTACCAATGAGCGCAAATTGTATCCCTAAACTATTGAAGACACCAAATTTTATCCCTTAGATAATACATTTCATACGCTACTTTATAATATATTCACATTTTATTTTGTTTGGTTACAGGCCCATTACACGCAAACAAGAACAGCCCAAGGCTACACGCAAACAAGAACAGCCCAAGGCTAGTGACCCAAATCCCACGTGACCCAGGGGAGCAGCCCGTGGCACCCCTAACCCAGATCATATAGGGTTTCTCAAACCCTAGCAGTGTTCTCGTCTGCGCCGTAACTTTCCTCTCCGAGTTTCACGTCCACCCGTCTCTCTCCCTTAACTTCTCCGAAATGTCCGGCGAACGAGACTCATGCATGCATCACCAACAAACACATCAAATAGTTAGTGTTCTATTCGGTTTCAAAGACCTAAAAATAGGATTTTTATTCCTATAAATTGATGTAATCATCCACAAGTAAGGAGGAGACGATTTTACAAAAGCAAATTCATAGACCATACCCACGAAATACCAGAAAATACGAAGCAAATACACAATCATTCGAAGCGTTTTAACATTTTTTCGAAAGAAATAAAGGTGAAGATTTCCATACCTTTGCGATTTACGGGTTTGCTTGATTTTTACATCTTTTTGTTGCGTTTTGATCCTAGAGAAAACCAAGAGAAAGATTTTTAGCCGATGAACTAAGGGGGAGAAGTAGAGAGTTTCAAACTTCGATTTACTCTCCCCCGAGGCTATTTCGTGGAAACTATGGGGATTTTTAGAACGAGGATGGAACGGACTTTCGAATGGTGTTGAAAAGTTGAGATTTTGCCGTCTATGGCCGACGGCGAGGCAGCGTAGGGTGGTCGTTTTCTGGAATTTTGTTGGAGGCCCGCCGTGTTCTTCAAAGCCTGAAGAACAAGCGAGAGAACAAACCAAAAGGGGGAGGCACGTTTGATGAAATGAAGAGAAGTCAGAGTTTTAAATTTTTTTAACATATATACTAGACCTGCGGATCAAACAATAACCTGACCCAAACTGCCTTAGATCCGCGTGTTTTGGCCTTCAAAAGGAGTGAACTGCGTCTTTGGTCCTTCATAGTTTTTATGAGTTCATTTCGACCCTAAATAGAATTTCCATATTGATTTTTAATTGAAATTTGGCCTCATGTTTTCATTTCTTTCATTTTAATCCCATCACTATTATTATTATTATTATTATATATATATTTGCTCATTTTTTTATTTTATTACTTACTTTTTTTTATTTTATTAATACATTATTACATGTATATATATATATATATATGTTTTTAATTCATTTTTCATTTTTATTATCACTATTATCTTTATTATTTCTATTGTAATTTTCCTTTTATTATACTTATTTATATTATATATGTTTTTTCTTTTTCTATTTTTTTATTTTTTCTAATATTTATTTATGTGTATATATTTATTTGTTTTACTTCTTTTTTTTATTCCTTATTTTATTAAATCTTATTATGTACATATTCTTTAATCCACCTTTTTTTTATATTTTCTTATTGTGAACGCCTAATTTATTATTTTTTCTTAATTAATTTAAATATTATTTTTATTTTCATTTTTTTTTCACTTGTGTGGGTTTTCTTTTTCGGTTTCTTATAATTTATTTATTTTCTTATTTTTATTTATTTTGTTTGCTTTATTTTCATTTTTTGTTACTTTGATTATCTAACACTTTTTATAACATCTTAACGGCACATTTTTAATCCGTCAGAGGTAAGTAATTCGGATCAATTTCTACCTTTTAATTTAAACTATCAATTTTCTTAACTTAAGACAACTGAAAATTATGTAGTACCGAAAGAGCAGGTCAAGGGTGCTAACCCTTCCTTGACTGTAACTGACTACCGAATGCGACACGTCTTTGGAAAGACGCAGACCATATAAGAAATAAGAT